ATTTTCATTCATGCACATCATCCTGCAAAAGGTAATCTTTTTTTCGTTCGTATAATTTATCACATTGACCTACAAGCTATTTAAAAAAAAAAAAAAACTTATTTCGAAAATAATATAAATGATATTCGAATATTTTTTAAGATGGTGCCACGTACAACAAACAAAATGAAAATTTATAATTCCACGTAGGTTGTATATTATTATTATTATTATTATTATTATTATTATTATTATTATTATTATTATTATTATTATTATTATTATTATTATTATTATTAAAAACTTTTGCGAGGCGCAACATAAGAAAAAAAAAATTTTTTTTTTTTTGTTTCGTCCAAAACGTCCTTCGCATACGACAAAAGAAATTATTTATAATAATAATAATAATATTTTTAGAATGTTTTGTCCTTCTCTCTCTCTTTTCGATTAAAATTAAACGTTATTATTATTATTATTATTATTATTATTATTATTGAAAAAACGAACGTAATTATTCATAATAAACGATGGGGCAATTTAAACTGTCTAACCGATTATAAATAAAATAAAAAATATTAATATACCGTCCGTACGGCTCAAAGTTTATTTATTATTAACAATTAACAATGTGGAGGCGGTGGTCGTGGTGGTGGTGGGGGGGAAGAAAGAAATTCTTTCGAGATGTTTTTTTTTTATATAAGAAAAAAATGAGAGAGAGAGAGAGAGAGAGAAAAAAAAATTTTTTTAAATGTAATAAGATGAAGGAGGTAGATAAAAAAATTACTTTTTCTTTTGTTTTAAAATATATCATTCACGTTCGAACCAAAAAAAAAAAAAAAAAAAAACAGTTCGTGAATGAACGTTATTAAAAAAAAAAATTTAATTTGTTTTATAACAAAAGCAGAAAGTTTTAAATTTATTTATGTAAAAAAAAAAATATTATTATTATTTAAAAATGAAATAAATTCAACTGGCGGCATGATTGTAATAAAAATTCTAAAAACTCAACCCCTTTGAAAAAAAAAAAAAATGTTTTCGATATATATCGATAAGTATCGTTTAAAATCACGTGGGCGTCGAATTATTATTATTATTAATTTCGAGGATTTATTGTTTTTCCGTACGAGTTATTTTTTTTTGGGGGGGTTTTTTCTCTCTCTCTCTTTATGATTACGTTTTTAAATATTCTGATTAAATTTAAGGGTAGTTTAAATATAAAACTTACATAAATCTTTTTAAAAATCCAATTCAAACCATTTACAAAAACCGATAGAAGCAGAAAAAGATGAAAATTGACCCTGAAAAAAAAAAAAAAAAAAAAAAAAAGGTAGGGGGACTTTTTTGTTGTTGTTGATTCGGTTCAAACATCAAAAAAAAAAAGAGGTGGTTGTTGTTTGTATTTAAAATTTAAATAAAAAAAAAAAAAAAATTTTGAAATGTTGATAAGGTAAAAAAAAATGTCGAGTTGAAATTTTTTTTTTTTTTTTTGGTTGTTTGTAATAAGAAAAATATGAAATTCTGTAAAAATTATTATTATTATTATTATTAAAATTATTATTATTATTATTATTAAAAAAAAAAATGGTGGATATTAATGGGGGTGATTGTTTGATTTGTAAATTATCGATTCGAAAATAATATAAATAAATAAATGTATATAAGGTTAACGGAAAAGGTGTGTATTATGCGTAAAGTAGTTCAATCGATGTGAAATTAATAATGTAAGAATTTTTACGTGGAAGAAGATTATTTTTTCCCGCTTTTATTTAAGTTTAAATTCATTGGTTAATATTTTTTGTCAGGCTTGCGTTTTGAAGACGTCATTACTTTAAAGCATATTTTGAGTTGTTACGGTTATGTACATGTTAAACAACAAGTTGCTCAATGAAAGGTATTATTATTATTAATTTTTTATTATTATTTTTGTCTCTTTTTTTTTTTTTGTTTTTTTTTTTACATTTTTATTAATGGCTGTAAATCGTTTATAGTGTAAAAAAAAAAAATTTATTTTAATATTTATTTTTATGCTAAATTCATGTTTAAATTTGACATACATAACGTATTTATGTGTTTCACATAATAAATTTTTAATTTTAATTTTTCAATTGGAAATCCAATGTTAAATTTCAATTTAATGATATTAAATTTCAATTTGTTTTTTTTTTTTTTTTTTTTTTATTATGTCGATAAATTTATAGTTTAAAAAATGTTTAATTAATGTTAAAATCAAATAAAATTATTTGTAATTTAAATGGTAAGTAATTTTGTCTTGTCAATAATAAAATTAATTGATTAAAATTCTTTCTTAAAATAAATAATTTTCTAAAAGGCATTTTACAAAGTTTGTGTCACAATCGAAAAGGTTCTTTTTTTTTTTATTTTACATGTGACTACTTATTTTGCAACATTAATTCTTATATCATTCGATTCCTTCTTATGTCACTCAAACTCACTTATGTATGAGACGAGTAAACATTAATAAAATGTTAACATGTTTCAAATAATATTTAAAAGTATTTTTTATGTATTATCAATACTCATGATGAAAATTTCAATAAAAAATTTTCAAAATAATGTTTTTTGCTACTAACAATAACACACACTCATCATAATCGATAGCAAAATGAAAATTAATTTTTTTATTTAAACAACTGATGGTTCGACAAAAATTAAAAAATATCTTAACTAATCAAAACTTTAAAAAAAAAAGAAAAAAAAATTAATTTTTTAACATTTGAAAAAATATTTTAATTAAATTAATAAAAATTATAATGTCATTTCGAATGAAATTATAATTAGAAAATAACATGTTGCAAAATATTAACACATTTTTTTTTTTTTTTTTTTTTATTATTGGTTTTTAAATAGTGTGTGGGTATATGATAAAAATATTAAATATCTCCTTAGTTAAAATATAAAATTATTACATGAAAACTGTTATTGCATACTTAAATAAGTTAAATAACAAAATGCCCATTTTTTCGATTGCGACCTTAAAAATATTCAATAGTTGTTGACCTCTCAGAAAGTTTTTTTTTAGAAATCATAAAAATTTTATAGAAATTATTTTTAATCGAAAAATTTTTTTTTCATAAAAATAATTACAATGTATGATAAATAAAAATTTTTATTACGTTATAATTAAATAAATTTTAGGGACCTGAAATTTTAAAAATTTAATAATAATTATAAAAACTTCAGGTTCGTTCGAACTGAACTGAGCCTCCCCCCCCTCCTCACTAATAATTTTTTTTGGTGTTATTATATATATATTTATAATTATTTTAATATTGTGACATTTAAATACAAACAAAAATTAATAACCTCATTTATTTTTTAGTATTGCTTTTTTAGTATTATTATTATTATTATTGACCGCTATGTTTTACAGCCATTTAAACATAAAATTAAAAAAAAGAAAACAAAATGCTGAAACTTGTTTGGTTTTTGCTTGTTGTTTGTTATCAGTTCATCGCAATTTTTTTTTTTTTTTAACACGTATAATAATTGTAAATGTTTGTTTGTATATGTTACGGTCAATGTTTGTACGTGTTTGTATGTTTGTATAAAAGTGTTATCCTGTAATGGTCGTAGTAATTCAAAGGGGTTTAGGTAGAATGATGTAAAAACAATGTTAAAAATTAAAATTGTACTTATTGTCACACAACGATCGTTAAAATCATTTATCGAATTTTTTGTATGTTTAACTTATGTCAATTTTTTTTTTATATATTTTCTGAACGTATAAAAATTTTTTAATTCTCGTGCGAATTTAAATTTGAATTTTTTTTTTTTTTTTTGTGGTTCGAAGTCTAAACTTTCCAATTTCTTTTCGAAATTTTTTTTTTTTTTAAATTTATTCAATGTTAACGAGAAAATTATCAGTTAGGATTTACTCTCTAAAATTTATTACTTAAATGTACTCACTCACCATATTTATTATTGTCATTTTAACACCGGTTCAATCTGGTTTCCTTTTTTTTTTTTTGCTCCCACGTCCATACTTTCCCGGATGTGAACAACAGCAACAACAGCAATCAGGTTTCGTCCATCGTGGTGGTGGCGAAAAAGGAAACAACACAAACGAACTCATCCTAAAACAAAAATTTATTTATTTAATGAGACGTGGTACTAAAGTTTAAAATTTACTTAATTGTGATAACGTTTGTCTTATTGATATAAACAACAACAAAAAAATTATTTATTTTCCTTTTTTTTTCCTACCCCCCCCCCGGATCAATTAGTGATGACGTCAAAAAAAACATAAAAATTATGGTACCGTTATGAGAGTGAATGTGTTTATGTTATCAATCAAAATATATAAAAACATGGAGAAAGAGAGAGAAAGAGAGTGTGTGTGCGAGAGAGAGAGAGAGAGAGAGGTATATATATATTTTTCCTCGTAATATTTTAGCAATATTGTTAAATACTCGTGTCTAAACATAAAACATAAACATTAATTAATTTTATTTACTCGGACGGGAGTTAATAATTAAATTAAATTTTATTAAAAAAAAAAAAAAAATGTTTTTAGGTTTCGTCGGTTATTTTATTTTGAAACACGTCCAACCAATGAAAATTATTTCAAAAAACTTTTTTTTTTTTTTTTTTTGGCATTAATGCATAACCGCTAATGGTGTTACTACGTTGCCCCCCAAATACATTCAAAAAAAAAAAAAATTAAAAATGAAAAACGATATAGTCGTTAAAAAATTTTGAAAAAAAAATTTATCGAAGGTTTTCTCTCCCTCTCTCTCTCTCTCTCTCTCTCTCTCTCTTTCTAAAATTCTCTACGACATTTAATTTATTAAAATCAATTAATCTTGTGCGTACGTGCGTTTGGTCATTAGGTATAAATTTTCATATATAATTTTTTTTTTTTAAGGTATCATGAAATGTGCGTCGGAAACCCTACCTATTCATGGACAAGCTGCTTGACTAATGGACCTTAAACTTAGTTTTAAACGTATCCTAAGTTTAACATTAATTTTTTGCCATAGTAAAATTATATTTTCGATGGAATGCGAAGTGGGACTCCTTTTACAGGTTAGTACCTTTTAGTCGGTAAGACATAAAACAAAAGATGTAATGAGTATTACGTAATCTTTATCATCTCACGAGGTGAAAAATTGTATGGACAAAACAAACAAACAAACGACAACCAAAAGTCAACTCGAGTATGTTAATTATAATAAAGTAGTTTAAAAAAAAAAAAAAAAAAAATGTTTGAAAATCAGATAAAAAAGGATGAAATTATTTTGGAAACTTGAATTGACATTAAAAAAAAAAAAAAAAAAGTTTTTTTTTTTTTTTGGCTGGAACATTATTTTATTAAATGTCCTTTCTTTCTTTTTTTCAGAAACCGAGCGTCAACGTCCAGTGCTATCCGATTTCAGGTATTTTTTTTTTTTTTTTTCGACCGCTTTTAGTCAAGAAAAAATTCCATTTGTCGTGAGAGGGAGGGAGAGAAAGAGAAAGAGAGAGAGTGAGAGGGAGAGAAAGAGAAAACGGGAACGGTTTTACACAAACACACTAATTTTCCACTATCCTTGACTTGTTTAATGTGTTGGCATGGACATTTATTTTTTTACGAATAAAATATTTCAATGGAAAATTACTCGGTCGGTGCGCTTTAAAAAAAAAAAATAAATAAATAAATTTAAATGGAAACGTGTAAATCATAAAAATAATTTGTTTTTAATTTTTAAAAAAATTTTTCCCTCATTTTTCTATCGTAACAGATAATAATAATCCGGGCGTGAAGAAAAATTGTCAATTGCTGTCGTGTCGTCAGAAACAAACAGTCGATTGGAACATTATCGATCGTAAAAAGGGAGAACTTCAAGTTCAGTTTCAAGCTTTACCCAAATATTGTAATTTCGAAACGTACGTCATAGAATTGGAAATCTACGATGAAACTATGCCCTACGACGAAGGACTCATGTGCAACACCGGAAACACGTCGTGGAAAACTCATTCGAGAAGAATATTCGACAATAGGTTTTGCTCAACGGGAGAATCATTCCCCGAAGACTGTTTACAGGTACGAACGTGAGAGAAAAACGAATTATTATTATTATTATTATTATTAATCGAACGTTACAAATTACATAGCGAAAATGACAAAAACAAAAGGAAACCAAAAGGAAAAGAATCGACATTGTAACTTTTCGGTGAAATTACCCCGTTCTCTTTCCCCCTTCTCCCCTCTCACCCGTCGCAAATACACTTTGAAATTTAAATAATAATAATGATAATTAAAATTGACGTTTCGTAAATAAGTTTAAGGGGTTTTCAAGGGAGAATTTTAAATTATATGATTTCAATACATAATTAAATAGTTTTTATCGATTGTTGCTGGAAAGGAAAGATTCACGAGTAAACACGTCTGGAAGAAGTGAAATGGACGAAAATAATAATAATAATAATTAGTATTATTATTATTATTTATTTATACCGAGCTTTTTTTTTGTTTCAGGTTCACGTCGTAAATTTCAATTATGTTTATTCTGGTTTTTACCGACTCAAAATAACGCCTTACGTAAATGGAAGCACGAGACAAGCTCAAAGATCGTATCGTTTGCACATAAACAACACGGTTACGGATTATGTTAAGAAACAATTTTCCGGTCTTCATTTAAACGCTTCATTCCAGTACAGGAGTTCGTCACGGTAAGAAAAGTCGTTTAAGTCCAAGACGAAAGGTTTCAATAAAAAGGAAAAGAAGGAAAAAGGTGTTTCGTATCTCTCTCTCCCTCTCTTACATTCGAACTTCAGAAAAAAGAGAAAGAGAGAGAGGAAATGAGGATTGGAAGGATGAGAATGAATGACAACAACCTCTGCTAAAGTTTTCCAGTCTCGATTTTTTTTTTTTTTGCGACAGGGAAAATCTATAGATTGGAAAAGGAAAGAGGAAAAAAAAAAGAGTAGTGAGTGTTCCTATCTCTGTCTCTCTCGCTCGCTATTTCTCGGTTCTCGTGCATGATTTTAATTTTTTTTTTTTTTTTTTTTTAAAACATAAATTAAAAACGTGCCTGTGGGAGAACTGGAATGAAATCGCCCGAATTTTTATTATACATACAATCCATATGCGAAATTCGCTCCACTAAACCAGATCGTACATACGAATTCGATTTGATTTTTTCCCTCTCTCTCACTCTTTTTCACTCTTTCTTTCTGCTCTGTTTCAAAGTCAAGAAACGAAAATGAATCATGTGCAAAAAAGAAAATTAATATATTTATTATGAGATTTTTTTTTTTTTCCGATTCCCCTCGAGCGCCATTTTACACTCTTTCTGTTTTTTTTTTTACAAAAAAAAAAAAAAAAATGATAATAATCTGAGTAATAAATCACGGATATATTAATTTGTATCGAAAAAGAGGAAAGAGAGATATATTTTTTTTTTTACTTGATTTAATTTTTATCCTTTTTTTTTTTTTTTTTTTGGGTTCCAGAGAATTAAATTTAGGGATACCGTTACTTATAGACGATCCTCCCGATACGATAAGGATCGAAGTGAAATTTTCAAACGATAGCATCGATTATTACAACGTCATGATACACGTAAGACCCTTTTCGCGTTATCTCATTGTAATTGATAACAAAAAAAACAGAATGGTTAATTTTTTTAAAATTAATTATTTAAATATTTAGGGAAACGAAAATTCTACGAGCATTCAATGCGAAAACGAATTATTGAAAATACCTTGGCCTTCTTGTCAAGTTCACAAAGCTGGATTGGCGTGCACATTTTACAACATGACCCCTGGGTTTTACAACGTATACGTCACATTTACCGATGATAGATGCATGAGAGGTACGGTGTGGGCTGGCAATCACACCGACCCGTGTTTCTGGGTTATTAAGAAAGGTAATATCACGCGAATGCACTGACCTGTTTTTTAATTTGATTTGCGTTAAAGTTTTTGCCTTGATTATATATATAGGTAATGCATTTAATTTTAAAATTTTTCTTTTTCTTTCCCGCCCCCTCCCTCTCTCCCTCCCCCGCCTTTTTTTTTGTTGGGAGCAGAATTCACGGAGGATCGAGTTTTGACGGATGCATTGAGTCCGGGAAATGATAATTCGCAATTTTTAATTACGTCCTTAATTACATTGATCATTGTCGGAATCATTGCCACGTTTGTTATAGTCAAGACACTGAATAAGAGAAGGAAAAAATTGATTCATCGACTCGCTGGAAAAAATTTCGTCGTCGAAAATTCAGAAAGTAAGTATATAAGTCGAAAGGTGTTCGATATAAAGAAGAAGGTTGTCATTGTTGTCGTTTTTTTTTTTTGTAGAAACCGAAAGCGAACAAACGTACAAATTTAGTAGTAACGGGTACGTAAGTCAATTAGATTACGGTCAAATAATTGATATGAACGAACGGCAGCAAAACGAGTCGGAAGTGGTGCTCGTATATCCGAGAGACGTCCTTTCATTCATGGAATTGGTGACGTGTTTGAGACGAGTTTTGGAAAAAGTTTTCGAGTGCAAGGTAGTAGGTAATCGAACGATAGTCATAGAGAATTCGAACTGTACAATTGATTCGATAACTTGGATTTCAGGTCAACGATTATTTCGATCCGGATAAGTGGGACGAAATAAGCGCGAATCCGAAAGATTGGCTTCGGCGTCTGATAGTCGAAAGGCGGGTCAAAATAATCGTGATAGCGAGCGAAGTATGTCCGATCCGAACGGGTTCGCAAAAAATGGGAGAACGAACGGATCGCTACGAAAAATTTCCACATCCTTTCGACGATTTGTACCTGTACGCGATTCGATTGATTCGCGACACCATGAACGAAGAATCTTATAAAAATTTATTTGTCGTTACGTGAGTACTACCTCCTCCCCATCACCCGCCCCTCCTCCGCATTCATTTTTCATTCATTCATTCATTATTTTTAGGTTTGAAGGAGTGACGGAAAGTCAAAATCGTTTGGAATATTTCAATCCTTACACGAGATTTTCACTCCCAAAAAATTTCGACAAATTATTCGAACATTTAAGGAGCGAGAGGGGGAAAAATGGAGTCGAGCGGAAAAACGGAGAGAGTGGAAAATTCGATGAAAAATTAGAAATCCGTCAATTTAAATCACAATTGAATCGTTTAATGAATAATTTAAAACCGTACGAATATAAAGATTTTTAAGTTGTCGATTCGAACGTTCTCATGGACTCAAAATGTGAAGAAGAAGAAGAAAAATGGGAAATGGAAAAAGGAAAAATTCCAAGGGAAGGGAAAAGCGGCAAACGTCATAAGTTATAAGTCGATGTGTCGGAAAATGTCGCTTTTTAGCATAAAACCAAAAAAAAAAAAAAAATTAATTTTTTTTGTAATGATACGTAAAAGTAGCACCTCAATATAGTCAAGGGAAAATAACAGCACTTATTATTATTATTATTATTATTATTAATTATTGTTAAATGTCAATTACGTCAAATATTTCAATGGTAGTTTAACAAAAAAAAAATGTATTAATTCTAAATTATTTAAAACGATTCGATATATCGAATTATATACATATAGAAAGCACCACCATTTTAGCATAATCGTTAATTAGTTTATAATAATTAAATGGGAAAACGCATGAGCATTACAAAATAGTTAGAAATAATTGTTAAATGATAATAATGATAATAATTATTATAAAATAAAGTAAATGAGTGATGAAAAATTAACCGAATTAATTTTCCAAAGTCGTTTATTTATTTATTTAATAAATAAATAAAAGACATGGAAAAGTTTATAATAAAAGTGCCAAATATATTGAAAAATGAAAATGAATTAATTATTATCCGAATTATATATATATATATATATATATAGTAGCCTAAAAGTGTTCATCAAACAAAAATAATAATAATAATAGTTTTTATTAATGATATTCTCATGTTTTATATATATATATATATATAATTTTTATTATTATTATTATTATATAATAATTGTTGATAATTGTGTATATTTATGGATTATTATTATTATTATTATTATTATTATTATTATAGAAAATTTAAAAAAAGTCAATTCTAAGGAAAAAATTGTTTTAAGTGTAAAATTTTCAAAAAAAAAAAAAAAAAAGAAAAATATTTTTTGTTACAATTATTAAAAAAAAGAAATTATTGTTATGTTTGATAAATGTAATGGTAATAATAATAATAATTATTATTATAATAAAAGTTAATTGGGTTTTATTTATTTCAATAAATTCCTATTAATTTTGTATCCTAGTCTTATTCTAATGTCTAAAAGGAAGGAATTGTCAAAATTGTCTATAACGGTTAAAATCATATTAAATGAATTCGATAAAGAAAGTTTTATACGAATGGAAATGTACTTCATCCCTGGGGAGAAAGGGGGAGGCGTGTAAAACTATAAAAATCTAATAAATTTTGGAGGGACGCTATGGAAGACATTTTTTTTAACGGTTTTTTTGAAAGTTTTACATGATTTGCTCACTAGTTTTGAAAAACGAATTTTTTTCACATTAATGTTTTACATCGTTATAAATTTTTATCAAATATTGATTTACGTTTGGTTATTAAGTAATTATCAACCGAAATTTGTCAGTTATTTCAAATTAATATCAAAAAAAGACAAAAAAAAACTTACCTTGAGTTCGATTCGTGATGCTTCCTGTCGAGCGGCCATTACACAAATGACAGAATTTCAAGTTTTAACGTCTATGGTTTAATTCAAAATGGCCGCCTACATCTGCAAAGAATAAACAAATATTGAGGTTATGTTACTTTATTTAAAACTAACCCCTATATAAAATAATTAAAAATGGATTACGTAGAAGAACAAAATTCCGAATTGGAAGCCTTAGAATCAATTTATTGCGGGGAATTAGAGGTTTTAGGTAACGATCCACACAAATTTTCAATACAGATAAAATCCGAAGAATACGATGGGGATAATGGAGAAGGTTTAGCATGTACAATTAAATTTACATTTACTCCTAAATATCCGGAAGAGGTTCCGCTAATAGAAATTATCGAAGTGGATAATTTTAGAGATAATTACGAAGAAGAATTAGAAAATAAATTATTAGAAGATGCCAATGAAAATTTAAATATGGCAATGATTTTCACATTGGTGTCCACAGCTCAAGAATGGTTGAATAATAAATGGGATGAATTTAAAAGAGAAAAAGAACTCGAAGCCGAGAGACGACTCAAAGAAGTAGAAGAAGAAGAAATGAAAAGATTCGAAGGTACGAGAGTTACGGTTGAAACTTTTTTAAAATGGAAAATGGCATTCATAGAAGAAATGGGACTTTTAAAAAAAGAATTAAAAGAAGATAAGGAATGTAAAAAGTTAACGGGTAAAGAACTTTTTATGCAAGATAAAACATTAATCGAATCTGATTTGAAATTTTTGGAAGATAATAGCGATGCTGTTAAAGTTGATGAATCATTATTTCAAGATTTGGATGATTTAGATTTGGATGATGCAGAACTATCAGACAATTAACATCACCAACATTGTATAAAATGCATTTGTAAAAAATATTTTTTTTCAATTGTTCATAAGCGAACTTTACGAGTACTCAGATAAAGAAATATCAGGCATATTATTAATTTAACATATATATTATTATTATTAAAATTAGGTTATTTTAAAATTATTATTATCATTATTACCAACAGTAGTTTTAATTCATATTGTATATATGAATAATTTTTTTTAAACCGATTGGAAATTTGTAATTTGATTGTAATCGAATTACTCGATAATTATGTAATTATTACTCAAATATTATTTTTATAAACAAATTATTATCAATGAATTTTATCGACTTTTATTATTTTTTTTCTACATAAATTTTGTTTAAGTTGTTTTTTATAATATTAAAAAAAAAAAAAGTTTTAACGAAGGAACAAAACTATTACTACAAAAACATTCGAGCTAAAGAATTATATCATTACAAAATACAATAAATAATATTTTTTTTTATATTTTGTTTGATTTAAAACAAAAAAAATATGTTTTCATGCACACATTTTTTATTTATTATTATTATTATTATTATTATTATTATTATTATTATTATTATTATTATTATTACTCGCTATTAAAATTTTATTTTGTTTTGTTTTGTTTTTTTTTTAACAACAATTTATTATTTAAATTCATTTCGAATAAAAAAAAAATAAAATTTTTTCCTTAAATCGAATTATTTAAAAATTAAATAAAATATCGATAATAAAAAATTTAAAAACTTGTAATGTTTTAAATAAGGTAGGAAAAGGGGGAGGGGTGGGAGGAGGGGTGTGTGGGGGGGGGAGGGGTAACCGCGAAAAAAATTTAATTTTAACATGTATATATACTTCCGTCAGCAAAAATTTTTTAATTAGTAAAAAAAAAAAATTTATTATTATTATTATTACGCATCGACCTTTAATAAACGACATAAAATTTTATTTTATATTAATAATAATAATAATAATAATAATAACGTATAAGATTTTAAATGCCACCACCCATCACCCACCACCACCACGACCACTAATATACTCATCATCATTACTTATTTATTTAAATAACGTGGGAAGGGGGAGGGGAGAGAGAGGGGGGGGATTTTTTTTATCTTATTGCAATTAAATTGACTAATTAAAAAAAAAAAAAAAAAAAAAATTTTTCTTCTTATTAATTAATAATTAACCAACGAACGATTTTACAAAAACCGGAATTTAAAGTTTAAATTTAAAAAAAAAAATTTTTTTTTTTTTTTTTGATTGAAGTGTTTAAAGTAAAGTAAAGCAAAGAGAGAAAGAGAGAGAGAGAGAAGGTGAAAGAAGGAAGAGAGAGAGAGAGAGAAAATGATTACAAAATAATAACAGGCACGTTTTCGGTGGTATTAGAGTTAAACATTTTAGTTTCTTATTATCAGTGTTTATTAGTGTGTTTCCCGGTGTGCACATATCATACATATCACATTCGACTTCATTAACAGTAATAATATTTAAATTTTTTTTTTTTTAAATATAAATACAAATTACACCACCACCACCACCACTGCTACCAACATTACCACCACTACCACCACCATTCGAGGGGTAAGTTTTACAAAAAAAAAAAAAAAATGGCTTAACCAATAATGGTAGTAAAGACCACGCAAACAAATTTTTTTTTTTTTTTTTTTTTTTTTTTCGTATTATAATATTTAAAATTTAAAATAAATAAAATTTTTATTATCGTATTTTATTACGTCATCACGATTTCATATCGAACATTAAATAATAATAATAATAATAATAATAATAATAATAATAATAATAATAATAATAATAATAATAATGTCTTTTAAATTTTTAAATTTTTTTACAAATTTCCATAAATGAATGCATGAATATATTCGAGTTTCTCTCTCTCTCTCTCTCTCTCTCTCTTTTTTTGTATGTGTTCGTTACGTAATTCGTACGCACACGCACACGCACACACACGCACAATTATTA